CAACAATTTTCAGTCAGGTCATCTGGACAGTTTCTTTTTTTGCTGAAACATTTCACCTTCCATCCGGAAGGCTTCATCAGTCAAGGAAACACATAACACAAAACTGATTATTCCCCCAAACAACTTATTCCAGTGTGGAAAAAAACAGTTATGTTGGTGCTAAGATGGTGTCTGGTGCCGGCCCTCTTCCTCGTCAACAGTACAGAACTACAGTAGTCCCTCACTTATCGCGGGGTTACCTCCTATCCCTGCGATAGGTGAAAATCCGTGAAGTAGGGACTTTATATAAATTAAATAAACAATCCATGCTCACTCTGGTATCCACCTCACTGAAGATCCCACGGCAGCGATGCGGAAAGACATACCCCACCCCCACCCACTCCTTTCTCTTTCTGAGGCTCGGCCAGATCTCCCTGCTGTCTGCAAGCGCTCTCCTGGAGCTCTCACCTCTAGGCAGGAGCTCAGCTGCCCCGCATGGCCTCTCCTCATCCCGCCTCCCTCCAGCATGTCGGGAAGGGACTTTGACTTTTCCCTCGGCTGTGCAGAACCATTCGCCAGATCCTGGTTCGGAAGCGGAGGGGGAGAAGCATCGCGAGGGGGCCGACAGCCTCAGAAAGAGAAAGGAGGGGGCGGGGTCTGTCTTTTCCTATCGCTGCTCTGGGAGCTTCAGTGAGGCGAATACCAGAGTGATGGTCGCTTTTCATCAATCAGCCAGTCGTGTACAATTTTATGTTGAAAACCCACGAAAGTGTGTGTCCGCGAAAGCCGAAGCGCGAAGTATCGAGGGGCTACTGTAATGGCTACTTTGATCAGTTTCAAAACAAAATTTCTTATCTCATCACATCTTCAGGCATTTTTTTTACACCTCATTACGTTCCTGTTTGTAGTGACCTCACCAAGTAATGGTTTTTTTTTTAATATGAATCGATTCATACGGTAGTTTTAAGACAGCAGAAATCTTAAAATAATATTTTGTCATTAAAGCATTTCCTGAAACATCGATTTATAATTAGCAACACGACTGATCTGCCATCCAGTTTGATCCAGGACTTACTGTAACAAAGCTGTTTCTTATTACTACTTTGCACTGATGGCCACATCGTAGCCTTGAATATTCAAAACAGCCTGATCACGCCACTCATCCACCTCGGGAGGAAATAGGCTTCTCTAAAAAGAGTCTTTCCTTTGCTGAATGGGGCTGTCATTACATTAGTGGTGATTTACACCATCAAAGAACACATTACATGTTTGTTTTCTCTACAAAAAAAAAAAAGAGTCTGTTTCTCTTCTCTTTTGATGATACCATTTGGAGGTTCAACTCTGTTTTCAGGCAGCCTCCAAAAGATCGAGCTGTGAAGCCACAAAGTACCCTAATTGCCGTATCGACGATGACAGCCTTTTTTTTCTTTCATCCCCGAAAACACTCCAGCCGTCCTCACAGCTCATATCTGCTCTTCAGCAACAATGGCGAAAAATGGTCAACCTTACCTGGACACCCCCCCTCACCACCACCACCACCACTACCTATTATTTCTTTGTCCAGGGTACACACACACACCTACATTCAATAACCGTACGACGTCCCCATTTTTCAAGTGTCTTCCCACTCGACCCTCCCTGAAAGCTGGAGGTCACATATTTATTTTAGACGGCGCAAAAGATGACAGAAAAGAAATCCAATCGTGGGTAATTTATTACGATATAAAACATGGGAGTTTCAGGAAAATTAAACCTTGGGAGATGAACTGTCAACGCCGTCTCTGCTCCTCCGTCCCTAAGGACCTGGGATGTTACATGTTGCTTTAGGTCAATAAAGGTAATTGATAAGCTCTCATATGGATATATAGTGATGAATGTAGGATGTTTATAGTGTAATAAATCAAACTACCTCTGGAGCAGTAAATGGCCCATTTTGATGGAAATAAGCGTAAAGTCATGGCCCTTGATCAATGGCGTACAGTGTCAGAGACAGGCACCAATAGGACTGTTATTGGTCCATCACTTACGCTTTATGAGCACCTCAGAGCTGAAGCAGGAACAGAGTTACATCAGCTGGCCTAGTCATAGATTATTGGAAAATCCACTGATACTGAAACATGACATCAAGCTTGAAATTAGATCTTTAACGTCAATAAAAACAAATTTTACCACTCGTAGAAAGATTTTGGACATACTTTTCTTTAAAGTCAAATTGGACTTTCTGTTCAGAAATACTATGAAAATCTTCTGCCCTCTGGTGGTTAAAAAACAATGTACAAAATATACAAACTTGAAACCATCTTTAATATCAAAACACAAAAACGTACACAGTAATATCCCATAATATTGCAGTAACGCCAGCATACACACTCAGAAATATGTCCATTGCAGAGCTGGTAGAAAAACAACATTCGGTGGTGCAGAAACAATCATTGACGTAATTCTTTGGTATCAGACGTGAACTTATTCACACAGTGCCTGTCTGTTCATATATACGGATTAAACTCATAGTCAGTTGTTTGGGAAACAAAAAAACATTTCAAGTGCTCCAAGTCAATGCTGCCGAGTTAGATTCCACACCTCCTTTGGTTCAGCAATGCCCATTAATGAAAGTTCACGTATTTGAGAGATGTGGGAAGTTGGATAGACGACTTGTGAACAACCACAAGAAGTTTAAAGAGGGCTTCATGTTTGTGGCCGTATCTCTGAACTGTTCTGTGAAAAGTTTAAATTGCCAACTCTGTGTGGGTCAAAGGCTTCTATTAAGGCACTTTGTCGTATTTTCACCATTAATAAAAAACATTTCTGTGAAGAGATATTTTAAGGTAGTCCGAGCCTCTTTTGGAGACTAGCTGGCAACTCTAAAACTGAGAGAAAACTGAGAGAAAACTAGCTTTCTTATTGATTTCTGAGTGTTTGCGACCAAATGACCAGCTAGCCGTGCGGCCACATTTATGGTGCCCAAAGTTTGAAAATCACAGTCTGTGTGCAAAAATAGGCATACTTGACCCAGTTTTTAATTAATCATTATTATTACTCATCAACGTGATTAGACCTGGACATTTTTGGCTGTAGAACCAGATGTTTTCTGTCAGAGAGCTCTTGTGCTGGTGTCAAAATCCAGCTCTGGGATTAAGAAAACTAAATTGAAAAGGTGTCCTGATGCACGCTCAATGATGCCGGTAGAAAAATCTAACAAAGTCAGGTCCTCTGGACGGATTAAAAGAAATAAAATAAAAAATAAAGGAGGACCATCAGCATAATGACCTGATGGCTGCTTGCTATTCACAGAGGGCTGAGTGATACTAGCAATAACAGCTAGGTATGTCGCGATAAACAATAAATCAATTAATCGCATGATAAATGAAAATTATCGATCTCATTTTTATTTACCGGCTTTATCGTTTCTTCATGTCTCTCTCTTTCTACTCAAGACAAGGCTCAACTGAGATGGTCTTAACTGACCACTCCCTCTCTCTTTAAAATCTGTTTTAACGATCCAAAATCGCGTTTTTGGATCGTTAAAAGCAGCAAAGCTGAGAAGCTAAGCTAACAGGCTAACCTCGGGAATAAACCTCCGTCTTGTCGAGTTCCAAAATTCGCAGTTGAAACTCGTGCCTTCATGTAAAAGGTTTTTCTCTGCAAAAAGAAGCTGAGAACTTGTTTACTGATTTTTTTTATTAAAAACTTTGTGTGAAAAATGCTATGTTAAAGAGCTCAAACTACACCAAGCGTCCGCCATTTTGAGAACTGAAGAGAGACAGCCCATGTCATGTCAAGGGGCCTCCCTCCCATTTTTCTTAAAGAGACACGCTGCTCAACTTTCCATCCTTCAGTTCAAACAGTCTTATGCTGCCATCAAGTGGTCAAAAAAGGTACTACAACCAAACAAATCAACGTTTCTTCTAAAATTTGACAATTAATTATTGTTAATTTTTAAACAATATTATCGTTTATCGCAATAATTTCTGAGACAATTAATCGCCCAGCAAAATTTGTTAGCAAGCTGCCATCAGGGCATTCACGATTGGTCATTAGGTTGATGGTCCTCCTTTATTTTATTTTTTTAAATCTGTCCAGAGGACCTGACTAAACTTTGTTAGATTATTCTACCTGGATTATTGAGCATGCATCAGTGTTCTTAATCCCAGAGCTGGATTTTGACACCAGCACAGGAGCTCTCTCCTCTGACAGGAAACAGATACATTGAAAAGGATTCGAGACATCCACAACTCGACTATTTAGAAAGAAACTTGTCGCACATTTTTTGTTGATGTGTTCAAAATTCAAGTGCTTCACACAATGATACCGAGACCCCCCACAAACTTTGACACATTTTGTGGACACCTCCCCCCATTATGTCATTAACCAACTAGTTGCGTGATCCATTCTTCATCTCTCATTCAAAACCAAGCCCTGCAGAAATCCTTACATCCAGTTTTTATGACTCTCTTTACCTCTTTTAATAAGAGTTTCACATATTTCCCCAAGGGGACTAAATTTCATATCGTAAGATTCAATACATTCTCCAATATGGAAACCACATTTTCAAATTGTACTTTCAGTCAGTAACCAAAAGTGTTTCAAGAAGAAACTTGAAAATTAACGAGGTTCTCTAAAATGGAACATTTTGTAATAAAATCAACTAAAACTCCGCATGTATTAATCAGTAGTGTGTAGGTTCATCGCGCCGGTTCATGCACGTTTCAGGGGTTTTACATCACACTCCCCTTCAGAGCCATTGACGAGAGGCGAGCAGTTATTAGTCTCACGCTGACACAATCCCAGCTGGCTTTTTGAGCTTCGAAGCGTCTGTTCTCCAACAGAAGCTCAAACCAGGGTTGTCTTCTGTATGAGAGTGGTACGCTTCAACACTTCTGTCAGTTTGTCAGGTACGAGCTTGTTTACCAAGCTGTAGCTGCTCTGTTTTCTGTGTTGCACACTCCGAAAAAGAAAACTAGTCCACGGGGGGAAGCCCAGACGAGCAAACTTGTGAAAGTTGGTTCCATGTCTTTTACCTGTCATGTATGCTTCCAGTTGATGTTGGCTAAACTGAGAGCAAGCCTCTTGGTGAAGAGTGTGTGGGATTTGCCACAGTAGGTGTGTGTTGCCTTCAGAAGCTCCTCCTCCAAAGGACGCAACAAAGAAGCAACGGGGTCGGTGCCAAAGGAGTACTGGAACAACAAAACAACAGGCGACGTTCAACTTTAACAATAATTGTCTTCTAAGATGTTTGTATCCAGTTTGCTGCCAAAGTTGGACGCTACACACAAACTTTTCTCCGGTGAACTGAAAACAACTAAAACGTTAAAGCGAGCTGAAGTCCTATGGGACGCTGAATCTGCGAGGCTAAACATAAAGTGCTCCGTACTGTTGGAGTCACTTAAAGCTATAGGCTTAGGCTCTAGTAATAACCAGAGACGTCTTCCCAATAACGAAGGGGGCCTTTACAATGCTCCGAGGAAATCAAAGGGGGATTAACATTTTTATGCCAGCTCATTTGCTTTGCAGTCGGCTCCTTGATACCAGGTCACGAGGAGAACGGTGGTTTTACGAGCGCACGCCCCGCCGCTCATAAAGCTGCATTTACAGTTGTTGTATTGATTTGGATCTGCTGACAGTAACGCTCGCGTGCACAGTCGAACTCTAAACGCACCGCCGGCTGTAAAAATTAACAGCTGCTTTCTGGTTTCAGCTTTTTTTTTCCCCAACAGTGGAAGGGAGGAGGGGGCTGCGAAGAGACAGACGGCTGAGGTGCGAGACGCAGACAGGGAGGAGTGCCGTTCTTTGTTTGACAAAAAGCAATATTAGAATTATTAACCGCTGGAAATGGTCCAGATTCGAACACTATGCAGGAAAATTCAACCCTAAGTAAAACATGAATTTGGGTTTTAACAGAAAACTATTGCATTTCCTGTAAAAATGCAGTGTGAATGCTTATTACTGAATAACGTGCTGAAAAACTGCTGAAATTTGCTGAAACGCAGCAGAAGAAAGAAAGAAAAACACATTTGCTGAATTACGTTTAAATAAGCAGAAATGAGCACAAAAAGAAGGAAATTAGCTAAAAAAAAAAAACAGCTGAATTTAGTAACAACCAAAAAAAAAAAAAAAAAAAAAAAACCAGCTGAAAAGTAGCTGAAAAGGCAGAAAGAAGCTTGAACTACCAGAAGGAAGTGGAGAGAGTACATTTTTGCTGAATTGGGCTGAACGAAGTTGAAATGAGTGTAAAAAACGTGGAATTAGCTGAAAAAGCTAAAATTAGCATATTTACTGCTCAATAGTAGCTGAAACTAGCAGAAATAAACTGAAATGAGCAGAAATAAGTTAATTAGGCTGAAAGTAGCAGAGATTACCATGAAAAACTTGAATTAATCTGAAAACGGCTCAAATTAGCTAGAAAGGTAGCTGAAAAGTTATAACAAGTTTAAATTAGCAGAAGAAAGCAGAAAGAACAAGTTTGTCCAATTAAGCTGAAAGAAGCACAAAAAGTGGAGATTATCAAACAAAAGCTGAAATTAGTAAAAAATAAAATAAAATAAAAAAGCTGAAAAGTAGCTGAAAATGTAGAAAGAAGTTTAATTTACTAAAAGGAAGTGGAGAGAGCAGATTGTTGCTGAATTAGACAAAAAAAAGTTGAAATGGGTGTAATAAATGTGGAATTAGCTGAAAAAGCTAAAATTAACATAAAACAGCTGAATAGTAGCTGAAATAGCAGAAGAAGCTGAAATTTGCAGAAATAAGCTGAAATTAGCAGAAAGAAGTTAGAAGCAGCACAAAAATGTTGTAGTTAGTAGAAAGAATCTGACAGGAGCACAAAACAGCTGGAAAAACAGCTGAAAGTAGCTGAAAAAAGGTCAAATTTGCACACAGAAGCTGAACCAGAACAAAATGTGAAAGGAGCAGTAAAAGGTTGTAAACAGATCTAAATATTTGAAGGAGGTAAAATGAGCTCAATTCATTTTCTATGAGAAGAAAAAGTGACAAAAAAGGCTAAATATTTCAAAAAGCTAAAGTTGCACCAATACCAAAAGTCATGGCAACCTTCTGCTGAACGAGCTGAACGTTTTGATATGATTTTTTGATAAAGCTTAAAAACTGCGGGATGAGATAGATGCCAAAAAAACGTACGGAACAAGGATAGGACTTACAATAAATATAAACAGGATCACAATAGTGTGAATGTTTAATAATAAGCATTCACACGATAAGAGCTAGCAGTTACTTTGTAGTGATTATAAACACATTTGATTGAATTTGTCTGTATAAAGATTACTTCTCAAAGCTTTTTTTTTTTTTTTTTAATAAAAGAAAATTGCAGTTTGGCGTTTCTGTTTAGGGGAGTTTAACTTTTATTAACCAGCTGCTCTTCAGCTCATGTCTTGTGTGTCTTGTGAGAGAAAAAATTCCAGCAGGGAGAAATTTAACTCCCGCTTTGACCTCCAGACTGATACAAACATAAAAGTTGTTTTAATCCCACGGCTCAAAAAAAACATGAGTAAATCTGCTGAACACGATGAACTGCAGGTTCTGTTCAAAGCAGCAAGTGATCTCCAGCATTTATACCCCGAGGTTCAATGGGATTAACCTGTATAAATAAAGGATGATGACGGGCATCTGTGATTTGAGATGACACCTCGTCGTGCCAGCGAACATTCCCCTCCATCCGTTGCTTGTCCTACGGGTCATATGCTGGCTGTCTGAACAGAACGGACCCCCAGGCTACCACCACAGCAGAGGAAGGGCAGCGGGCGATGGAAGCTCACCAAGAAGCTCCGTCAGCTCCCAAATGGCTCATAAGTAAAACTGGTGAGGAGGCGGCTCTTTTCAGTGAGCAGAACTAAATAATCCCAGAAAAAGAGTCAGAAGTTCAATCATTAAAACTCACCTGGTCAAAAAACAGCCCTCAGCCACAAATACAAGTTCTCCAGCTGCTTGCACCCTTAACGTACACGTTGATGATGTTCTGGAACGTTTTCTGTTCTTTTCAACCCGTTTCCTTTAAGCTACCTTTTGGGAAGTGTTTAATCTGTTAACACTACTACGCACTTCCTCTTGGTCAAATTAAAGTAGATAAGATCAAATATGGCGATGAGCGACTCGAAACTTTCTATACCTTAAGTTTATTTTACTTTTAATATACTAATATAATGCAAAACTTGAGTAAAGCTCTGACTTTCTTCTTGAGCGCAGTGGTTTACTCACAGTGGAGTTGTAACTTATCGTGCGAACACTTCTGACGCATTCACACTATTGTCAGCCGTTTTTCTGCCGTACGTTTTTCAGCATCTTTCTCGTTCCGCAATGTTTGTGCTATTTTAACAAATCATAAATCAAAACGTTCAGTTCGATCAGGACAAGAGTGCTATGACTTCGCAACTTTAGCTTTTTGAAATATTTAGCTTTTTCTGCCATTTTTTTCCTCACAGAATATGAATTCACATTTTGTTCTGCTTCAGCTTCTTTCAGCTTCCTTGTGCAAATTTAAACTTTTTCAGCTACTTTCAGCTGTTTTGTGCTCTTTTCAGATTCTTTCTGCTAACTACAAGAATTTTGTATTTCTAACTTTTTTCTGCTAATTTCAGCATGTTATGCTCCTTTCAGCTTATTTCTGCAAGTTTCAGCATTTTCAGCTACTATTTAGCAGTTTTTAATGCTAATTTTAGCTTCTTTTTTTTGGCTAATTACACGTTTTTATGCACTAATTTCAAACTTTTTTCAGCCTAATTCAGCAAAAATGAGCTGTCTACTTCCTTCTGATAATTTAAGCTTCTTTCTGATTTTTTAGCTACTTTTCAGTGTTTTTTTGTTGGTTTTTTTGCGGCAAATTTCTGCTTTTTTTCAGCCTAATTGGCCAAACATGTTTCTGCTTTCTTATGCTAATTTAAGCTTGTCCCTTTCAGCTATATTTGTAGCATTTTCTGCTAATTTCAGCCATTTTCAGAAAAAAAATCTAGCTTTTTGTGGTAATTTCCGCAGCCTATCAATTTGTCTCTGCTAATTTAAGCTCGTTATGCTCCTTTATAGTTATTTCTGCTACTTTCAGCCTTTTCTACTAATTCAGCTATTATTCAGCTGTTTTTATGCTTATTTAACCCTTTTCAACTAATTCCACATTATTTGGGTTCATTCCAGCTCTTTTTGCTTCCTTCTGGTAGTTTTAGTTTTAAACCTTTTCAGCTACTTTTTTTTACTAATTTCAGCCTTTTCTTTTTTAGCAAATTTCCACATTTTTATGCAAATTTCTGCTTATTTAAACCTAATTCAGCAAATATGTGTTCATTCTTATAACTTTGGCTTGTTCTTCCATTTCAGCTACATTTCAGCATGTTTGTAGCTAATTTCAGCTGTTTTCCAGCAAGGTCTTCTGTAACAAGAATTCAGTGTGTTTTCAGAGGAAATGTGATTCCTTTAGTTCTAATTGTGTCAGTAATGTAGTTATTTAAGTCTAATTGTAGCTGCACGAGCTGAAGCAGATCAGGTGGTCTGTCTGAACATATTTGCTTGTTTCCTTCTAGCAAACTAGACGTGCTCACAAATCTATAAGAGCACTGTTTTATAGGAGTCG